TGCTCTGCCTAGCTTTCGTCCCAGTCCCTCCTCCGCAAGTTCTCTCTCCAAGGTGCTGCGCACTGCCAGCTTCTTCTTTGCGAGCCGTGTGCTTCGGACTTGTCGCAACATGTGGCATCCAAGGGCGCTGGCCTGAGAGCGAAGGCTGTCCATCTGGGTCATGCCATTTTGTGCCTCTTCCGAGGTGGCACTCTTCTGGCTGGGGAGCTGGCCGACGCTTGGCCAGAGAAGAGGTTCCCGAAGTTTCAACTTTTTCCCTGACAACGCGCTAAAGAAATCCAGAGTAGGTCATTATCACGACAGGGTTTACGTAAACAACCACAACGACAAGCTCTTTTCTTGCACTGACAAGGGTTTAGGCTCAACCCCAGCAGTGTGCGCTCGTGTGGACTTGAGTTGAGAGCTACTTGAGTTGAGAACTTTGATGACAACTTAATCGGTTATACACACGGTCATGATGTAACTCTGCTTCATCCAGCGTGCTTCTACGAGCGGGAATCACCTTTTCACAGCCCAAATCCGCCAAAATGGTGATCTGCCCACGGGAAGCAACGCAACGCGAGGGAATCACCACTTCAACACGTTTAAGGCTCAAATCTTCCAAAACGGTGATTCCCCGGTGTGTTTGGGGAGAGGGGGCGTGCCGGAATGTCCGAAATCACCGTTCTGCAATTTTCACAGCCCAAATCCTTCAAAAGGGGTACGGGATTTAACATGTTGCCAGGACCTGCCAGGACAAGGAGTGTGGCCATGATGCGGGCTGCATGCACATACGAGCAAGAACAAGCTGCAAACAGTCATGTGCCGCGAAGTTGTGCCTGGTCGTTCTTTTAATGGGGTGGGCTTGATGTCAACGATGCTGACACTATAGTTGTTGGTGAGCCTTGAAAGAGGCACAAACCCAGAAAGTACAAAGCATGATGGAGAGTTGGCCGCCGAACTGGCCTCCGCACATGTGTTCTGCAAAATCTCCTGCCCCATTCACTTTGCAACAACTTCCACGAACAATTCTGACATATGGCCTTGTCTTGGCTGGGCTGCAGCTGATGCCTTGTCGTGGTGAGGTTTTCATGCCTTGTCGTGGTGAGGTTTTCATGCGCTGTCGCGGTAAACTTGTTTTTCTGTCGTGGTCCCGATATTTATTGTTATGGTGGCTCTCTCAATGAAATCTCAGGATCTTGGCCAGCAGCTGGCAATGGGACTCTCCCATCTTCACAGCCTTGGCATGCTGTGGCTCGGCGGACAACAGCGGGGGAATGACTGTTGAATCAGTGAGCCTACCTGTTTCTCGTTCTGGGTGGTGCCATCTATCATCCAAATGTTATGATGATCGAGTACACGGAAGGTACCCAGTTTTGCAAGCTCCAGTGAGGGGGATGTAGATGGATTTCAAGAAGTCTTGTGTTGTCGGCAATCAGCCGATCTCGGTGAAATGGGGATGAGTTCAATAAGGTCGAGATTCGACATGTCGTAGCATGAACCTCTCTTTATGAAGGTATGGCAGCCTTGCTGCAAGCGGAGTGCTGCGAGGTGCGTGTTATCTGTAGGAAAGCTCTGTCGAAGAATTACAGCGGCAGGTTCCCTAGATGGTCTCTGGAAGCTCGGGGACTTTTCTCGTGCAGCAGCCCTGCTCCTTGGTGCAACTGGTCAAGGGATGGAAAAGGCGTTCGGGTTGGGGGAATGGCTTGGAATCCCTCCCTCAGGCCCGTTGCGGCTTCGGAGTGGCGCAGCCGCAGCGGCGCGAAACCATGTGAGGCCCCCCCCGAGGCTGCGACTGGCAGAGTCTTTCATTTGGCATGTTGTGGTGCTGTGCAATCGCTGCAATTCCTGAAGGCCCGTGGTAGCAATGCCCTCAGCCGTGGAATTGTTACAACGTTCAGAGTTTTTTCTCGGGGTCGCTGAGGCACGGATGATGCACTCAAGCCCGAGGTCCGGAGATGTTTTACAAGCACTCAGACTGTCAGAGGCTGTTTCGCTTTGCGGCAGGCGGATGTTTGGCTCTTGGCCTCACTAGTCTTGGCAACACTCTGTGCTGCAAAGCCAGGCGTAGCCATGCGCAGCCGGCGTGCGTTTTGCTTTGAAGCTTTTCAGCATGCGGCCTGAGAGGCGACGCTTTCTTTGCTCTAGCACCGGAGCGGTGGGCCTGTCAGCACTTCCCTGACCTTGCCTGTATGGGGTCCTCGTGTCTCATGATGCAGCAGGCTCCTGGATTCTGCCGTGGCACGGGTCTGGCTGCTGCTGCAGTGGCTTCTGGCCGAGGACGGCGCCGTCTGTGAGACCTGCACGGTGGGCGAAATGCGGACCAGGCGCCGGAGGGTCGGCCGAGTGCCAGTGAAGCAGCGGCGCTGCTCGGCACTGCCACCCTGACGCCGCCGCAGGTGTCGCTCATGGCCCGGCCCGCCTCACTGCTTCCGAGCTCCGTGCTGAGGAGCTGCTCTTCGAGATGCCCAGCCGCGAGCGCCGGCGCTGCTGCGGCGCGGCGCTCGCAGCGGCGCGGCAGCGTGCGGCAGAAGCCGCGGCTGCCGAGGAGCAGCAGAGCACAGAAGGCATAGAAGGCGACACGAAGCATTGAGAGAAGAAATGCAGGGCAGCTCCCCTTCGAAGCTGGCGGATCTTTCTCTGGAAAGGCTCGATCAGAGTGGCTTCCCTTAGGGTAAATCTTCACATGGCATTGAGCAAGCCATCGCGAGCCGGATAGCTTGCAACCGGACAGGCTGCGGCACTTTGCTGGGCCTCAGCGTCTTTCTTAGCGTGGTCGTGAGCAATTGGGGGCTGTTTCGCTTATGTTGTAATCCGGAGAGATGTCTCGATTGAGGGTTGACCAGATCTTGGAAAACTGCGGCGTCGACGGTGATGGAGTCGGGTGTGCTGAGGAAACTGTGATGTCTGTGAAACTCGCGAAGCAACATGTCCTGAAGTTGGAGGAGACTCCTCGGCACCTCGCCGGCGGACATTCGAAGCTACCTCCAGGTAATTGGAGCTTGCTATTTTTTCGTGTTGCCCGGTCGAGATCCCTCCGTCGAAAGGCTTTTGCAAAGCGAGCTTTAGTCGAGATGTGGCTGACGTTTCCACCAATGCGAGTGGCGTGCGCGCTGCCCAGCATATTATGCAAGAGTGTCACAGTGAGAGAGTGTTGCGATGTTCGCCACAAAGACGGCTTTGATCCCGTGGTTGTTTTGATCCTGCCTCCGACCGATAGCATGGCTCTCTTGAAATGCCCCGAACGAATGAGCTTCGCTTAACTCAACTTTTTTCGTGACAGCGCAGAGGCTGTAGAAGCTTGATGCAGTCGTCCAAAGGACGGAAGCTGTGTAGAAAGGTCAGCTGAAAGTAGATCGTAGTACGCTACTTGCTCTCGTTGCCACCATGGCGATGACAGTGACCGTGTCGTTGATGAGCGGCCGGAGTGCAAAGTTGAAAGCTGAACCAGGGTCCCGGGTGCCTTCGCCCGCAATCAGGAACCTCCGTGTCTGTCTCAAGCAGCATCTGGACACCAACAGACGCCGCCGAGGTTCACGATCTTCGGACAAGAGCTTCGAAAGAACTGAAAGCGCCAATCGGCGGCCTGGTATTGCAGATGCAAGGTGCGCCAAACACAACTCCGCTTGATGAGGACCGGGCCGGGCGGCCGGGCTTGTGCCGGGCTTGTTGGCTGGCTGTGTAGTGACTGTGTCCACGGTGTCGAAGAGTGGATTGTCAGGAGGCAACGCTGCAGCAGGCCGGAGTTCGGGATGGCGCGATGCTAAATGCCACGGTGAAGCAGGTACCTGTGGGTTGCAGTCGGCGCAACGCAGCCTTCGCCCTTGTGCGCGGGGATGGAACAGTGGTGACTTGGGGAGATGCACAGTCAGGTGGTGACAGCAGCTCCGTTTATAAGGGTCTGACGAAAGTGCAGACGATCAAGGCGACCTCTCGAGCTTTTGCAGCCTTGAAAAGGGATGGGCAGGTCGTCACATGGGGTGATCCTCTTCGAGGAGGTCGAGGCGGACCCAGCTCACATCTGATGGACGTCAGAAGTTTGCAGGCATCGCAGAGCGCATTTGCGGCCTTACGCAATGATGGAAGGGTCGTCACATGGGGTGACACAGCAGCCGGAGCTGATAGCAACTCTGTGTCGCAAAGGTTGCTCGAGGTGAGCTCGATTTCAGCAACAGCTTTTGCTTTAGCCGCCATATGCCAAGATGGACTTGTGGAGACCTGGGGCGACCGCCGCTATGGAGGTGATTGTAGGGCCGTGCAGAAGGAGCTTCAGAGTGTCCGTTCGATCGTCGGAAATGATTTTGCTTTTGCTGCCATCCGTGCCGACGGCAGTGTGGTTTGCTGGGGCAAGGACGATAGTGGCGGCAGCACAGGTGAGATGCAAGCTCAGCTCATCGATGTTGTTTCTATCGAAGCATCGAGTGCCGCCTTTGCTGCCATTCGCAGCGATGGGCGGGTGGTCGCCTGGGGTGACAGGCAATTTGGGGGCGATTGCTCCTCTGTGAGGGATCAGCTGATCCAAGTGCAGAGCATCACCGCATCTCGCGCTGCCTTTGCGGCGCTGAAGGCCGATAATACAGTGGTCGTCTGGGGCCACGAGTGACGTGCCCAAAATATGTGGCCGAGGCATTAGACTGTTAGATATCTAGGCAAGTAGTGTGTGGAGCTGGATCTAAGGCAATATGGAGGCACGGTGAGCCTGCAGATCAGCCCACAGCTGAATCATGTCAACCTGATCAAAGCAACGGAGTTTGCCTTTGCAGCTTTGAAAAGTGACGGCCAGGTTGTGGCGGCCTTGGGACGTAAAGACTGGTCCTGCATGTTCTTCAATGTTGGAAGTTGTTGGAATATGTGTTGTGATCTTTCGAGGTGACTTGGGGCAATCCGGTGGAAGGTGGCGACAGCCAATCCCCATCGGTCAAGGACAGTGCTATTATGCAGAGCGCATTCTTCATGCTGCTGTTGTGGTCCAGTCTGGACTTCCTTCAGGAGAAGCTGCGAGACGTACAGCAGATTGAGGCTTCATCGGGTGCCTTTTTGGCTATCCGTGCAGACGGCAGTGTGGTTTGCTGGGGCAACTCCGACACTCCGCCGCAGAAATACACGCTTGTGATCTGTCATGAGCAAGTACAAGCTAAGCTAGCTCACTTCGCCTGCGGAACTTGACTCCAATCGATAGGTCTACGAAGTAGTGAGAACGTAGACGTAGTGATATTCGCAATCGAGACCGTGGCCGCTGAGGACAAGGGAGCCTACACCAAGCCAGTCGACATGTACCTGAAGGATGTTCACTGCATCGGGACGTCCCTGAATTGAGTCTGAGGCTCGGCAGGTCTTTGCCTCTGGAGTTTTATGACATGCAACGCGCTCACGTGCCAGCGAGGCGCTACGAGACATGCTGGTTCCAACACGTGCTGCGACGACGGCGTTTCAAACTGGGTGCAACAAAAGAGCGGGGCCTGCCCGTCCTGCACTGCGGCCTCTGCAAAGTTTCATTGAAGTCTCGTCCCTCGTCCCGAAATTCTCCAAGGTCCGAGGAGTCGCGTTTCGAGGCCGAAGGTGCCTCTCTGCCATCTTCTCTGGTAAGCCCATTTTGGCTCCCCATCCTCCGAGTGCTTCCTTTGTGATAATAGCTGATGACCGCAAGGCGTTCTTTGGGAGGGTTGTCGGCTTTGCCAGTGCTGGTGAGGCAAAATGGCAGATGATCCGACTTGCGAGGCGCATGCCTCGAACCGGGTCCTCGAAACAGTTTTCTGAGTCGCTTGTTTCCACTTAAAGGCATCTGTCGATCTGCTTGGCCTGCGCGGTGTCCTTGGCTGAGACTGTGAAACTCTGACGAGACGGTAGATCGAAGAGCTTGAGTTTAGCTCAGAGGCGTGATGTCGTTCATGCCCGAGGCAAATGCACTTCAGTGAGCCAGTAGTATCTGTGCTATCGTACTCGTCGGACTCGTTGACGGCACGCTGTGGGCACCGAGCTGCGGCCTCTACAGTTGCCCGCGGCCAGTTTCCAGTCACCAGGCTCTAGTTAACGAATTGCCCAAGAGAATGCTTGGAAGCTCGACACCACGAGGAAAGAACGCTTGAGTTTGAGACTGCTTTCGCGAGGGTTGGCCATGTCAGACTTCAAAGCGATGTAAAGCGCAAAGCTGTTTGTGCCGTGATCTCGGCCAGCCACTGCCGCCTTGTGCATGAGGTACGGTAAGCCAAGGGCGCCAAGGCTTCTGGCCTGTGGTCGGCTCGCAGCAAAATGAGCATGCAACATTTTGCAGTTTGATCGCATTCAGGCAGAAGCCATCTTATAGCTCACAAGTCTCTTTTATCTGTCGTGGCAGAGAGTTTCTGGTGGACGTACGGCGGCAGTGCTGCAAAGATTCCGGCCGCGAGCTTAATGCTTTGCACATTTCACTCTCGTCTCGATGGCATCGGCGGCAGGTGCACCGAAACATGGGCCGCCGTGCCGTGAGGCTTACGCTCCATGTCACCGCATGCGCCGAGCGCGCGCACCTGTAAGCCTTGTCCACTCCTATGATCATGCTGACACCATGTTGACCCTTTGGAGTCTGGGCCTACGCCGTGTCGAGACATGGCGCCGCCCGTTGGGGGAGCCACGGCCGTGGCGGCAGAGGGCAGGAAACGCAGATTGGATGAACAATGCAGCCGCAAGTCACTCTTCGGACGCGGCTCGAAGTGCGAAGCCAGACTCGTGGGATTCGTGCAAGTCGACGACTTGTTGTCACGTTGAGAATTTGGTGCTCTGCCCGGCCGTGCACTGTCCCTGCTCGGGAAGCCAAGCAGTGCTTTTTGATGTGCGCAGACATTGGCCGTGGCCTCTGCCCATGACAAGCGCTTCGAGCCAGGAAACACCCGTCGGACAGGGTCCAGCACGGAGAGATGTCCAGGATTTCAGCTTCTCATGCCTCTGCAATCAGCGACAGCCGTCTGAGTGCTTTGGCGGTCTGAGGCTGCCCAACCCTCTCAGAAGCATCCTGAGTCCTCCCAGCTGCAGTCAGCCTCGGGATTTCGCCAAGTTCGCAGGCTGCTGGTTGTGCTGGCGGCTCTTGTGGTCCTGGAGAGGCACCTTCAGGGGCAAGGCACGGCTCCCTGGCAATGAGTCGGCCCTAGTGCAGGCCAGCCGGTCGCTCGTCAGGTGCAGCGGCCTCGGATTGCTTCATGCGGAAACGTTGCATCACGTTGCGTCATGTCGAGACCGGCGCATACAACTTCGCGGGGTACGTCGGCCGGCACCGGCAAGCGGGCTCAAACCTCATTTCGGCTCCTTTGGCTGCAGTTCTCCAATTCTGTCCGTGGAAGGGGTGGCTCGCCGATGCGAGTTCCAGCAGAAGCGCGAGGCTTTGGCGGATTGTCACGCAGTGTCTGCCCTTTCGTAGTGAGATGGCAGGCACTTAAGGAGTGCCTGGTGCCTTGGATGCATCTCCAGATCTGCACAGGGGAAACGGCCCTTTCTGTGCACTCCACAGGCCCGTGAGTACCGAAGCTTCTTTCGACCCTTCGAGGCCCGGATTGGGAAGCCTCGCTGAAGGGCTCTGCAAATTTCAGTGTCTTGGCAGGCCGAGTATTACGATGAGGACCACGACTCCGTTGCAGCCAACAGGAGAATCGCTGTGCCCATGCAGGACGTCTCCTTCAAGGATCCACTAAACAACCTCGCTGGAAAGGCCGAGTTGACTTCCCTTTGTATCGGACTGTTGGACCATCTGAAAACGTGCGAGGACAGCTACAAGGCTAACGTGGAGATGTTGTCTGGAGACAGCTTTGTAGGGCCATCCCCTCGGCACAAGTTCTGCTGAATCCATCTGCAAGTGCAGCAGAGTAAAGCGAGGAGAGCTCGCCTAACACTGAAGCATGGCACACTTCGCCATCGTGACCGTCTATGCACTGAAGTAGGAAGAAGAAGCACGAGTCACTCAAGATGTCCGAGTGCTGGCACATCGGAGCCGAGCTCGGGCCTCCTGGGCAGCCTTGCCCAGGAACCTGCTCTTCTCAGACGGCTTTATTGACCTCCATGCTGTGGAGGAGGTGTGGGCTTTGTGAAGTTCTCAGACGGCAGCCTGGCATTGGGAGGTTCCAGGGCAGCCCACGCGACTCCGGACACGCTGGACACTAGGAGCCGCTTTTCAGGGAGCGAATCTGAAGAGCAGAGCCGGAGCCAGAGCCCGTATAGAGGCTTCGTTTTCAAGCTGCTGCCATGGAAGCCCCGGGCCCTTTTCAGCGGGGCCTTGCACTCAGTCGCCCTTTTGAATCTCGGCGATGGCGTCTGTATTTTCGGAGGTGTCCGAGTACGAGATCGACGGGCAGAGTGCCAAGGTCTGGACGACTTCTTCGAGTTTCTGATCTCGGTTTGAGAGTTTTTTCGGGTTGTGGTTCTGTCCAGTGCATTGGCTTCCGGTCTAGCTGTTCCTGGGGAGTGGGTGTTTATCTTACTTCTTTCTCGCCTACTTTACCATACTCTCCACCACAAGCACTTTTGGCCTTTCTAGCCTCCAATCGTCCCAACCCCCCCACCCCAACACTCCAAATGCAAAAGCAGATTGAAGGCCGGATTAGCTTCCTGAGCTGTAGAATGTCAAACCTGAAACAGAAAACAAACCCACTATCACACCCTGCTCTAACCCGGAAAGACCCTGGCCCCAGGATGTCCCGAGAGCGAGTTGATCCGACGAACAAGAGCGCACTTGCACCAGCTTCCGAGGTGCTTCGTCAGCGTGATTACTGGGACACTCTGAGCTTGCAGCAAGGCGCGGCGAAGACGCTCTGAGAGGGCAGGGAGAGAGAGGGGATCTGATTTTCGGAGAGGTGGCGAATACGCCGGGGCCCGGGGCGGCTCTTTTTGAGGCTTTCCGCTTCCGCTCCACTTCCGCTCCGCTTCCGCTCTCTCTGAGGTTCCGGAGCCGCCTCTCAGTGGCCTCAAGGACGCCTCGAAAAGCAAACGACCCCCTAATTACTCTATCCTACTCTCTATCCTACTCTAGCAAAGCCTGTTTGCAAAGCCCGTGTGCCCCGTGCTCTCTTGAGGATCTCGTTAGCCAGCTCCTTCCAGGTGCGCTGAAACCTGCAGAGGCTCCAGTCTCCGGGGAGTTACATGCCCGTGTGACTTCATGTTGCATTCAAGGTTAGAGTGAGAGTGGATGATGGAGTTGCCGTGTTGTCTTCCTTTCCTGAGTGGTGCAGGCTCGCGAGCCCGCCGTTGCCGAGGCCGGAGATCCCGCAAGAATTTCAGAAGTGTTGCAAGTGATGGAACCGACGCTCAGGAGGCAGGTTGGGAACTGTTGCGAAGAGCACGGGGCCAAGCTAGGAGCACGGAGGTCTATACATTGTTTGAAGCATCAAGGCTGCAGCCTACCGCATCTACCGCAGCTCGGACGGCTCCATCCTTAGAAAGTCTGACGGCTTTGTGACAGCTCATGGAGTGCTGGCCTCACAGCTGAGAATGACAGTATGCGGCACTGTGCAGCATGAGATCTGCTAAACGGCCTTGTGAATATCGACTAACACACAATGATCTCACAACTAGCTTCACGAGCACCGAGCAACCGCTTTGCCCGCTTTGCTTGAACCGTGCAAGTTGCTTCGAAGATACTCTTTCTTCTTGCAAGCTGCTGGAGCGAAGGCGTCTGAGCTTCTCAGGCTGTGTGTTTCTTGGCTGAGGCAGAATATTCGCCGTTCCGGCACCGAGCTTCACTGCCGGCCTTGCAGGTGTCAAGGCAGAGATGGAGGCGCCGTGTGCAAAACTGCAAGGGAAACCGGCAGATACCGACAGAGCGCTGCGCGGAGCATGCATGGAGCACCCTGTGACAGGCCCACGGCCTGAAAGCAGGTCAGGTTCGCGAAGTGCCGCTCGGCCACTGTAGGCTCACGCTCCTCTGCGGCCTGGGGCCTCCCGATGCTAGGAACGGTGTGCAGTCTCTGGAGCTGGCGGAGAGCCTTGGCCTGCAAAAGGCTGCAGTGCAACATCGGAGGCCTGCGGGGTCCCGGGCCCCTCGCTGAGGCCGAGCCCCTGGGTCAGTGCGGAAGCCGTGCTGCAGGCTTCGTAGCTTTGGCTCCACTTGGCTCCACTTCTCGGCCCAATGATGGCCGATGCTCAGCGGGAACTGTGGAGCAGGGATGCTAACCTCCAGTCATGTGGCATCTTTGCTGGCCAGTTTAGCGAATGCTAAGACAAAGCCCGGCATTGTACAGATCAAATTTTCGATGTCACCTAGTTGCAACCATTTTCGGTGCTGCCGCAGCGATTACATGCCCGAAGTGCCTCGAGCAAAACTCATTTAGGGAAGGCTGCCGATCGGGCTCGCAAATGGACGTGGCTAGCAAAGTGAGTCTGCATGTCAAGATCGCGGCAAGGGTTTCGCACGCCGGCTGGGCTCAAGGGCATCATCACAGGCAGAGTCATACCGCAAGCGCTAAAATCTCCGCGCACCTCCATCGGTCTTCGGGTCCAAGGTCTACTGGTGAACAGCAGCACAAGGCTCTGAGCAGAATGGGCAGGAGCCTGTCGTCGGCTGTGGCGCAGCTTCTTGCTGTTTCTTCTGCTTGAGACTGAGATGCTTCGCGCAGGAGCAGGAAGGAGAAGCGCGTCCTCAAGGCCAGGATGCGTCGGGTCCGTTAGAGGCAAAGGCATAGGGTCTTCTGCAGGTGATCAAGGAAGACGCCAGCAAGTCGGCCAAGGCCAAAGAAGCCTCCTAAGGGGCACAGCCCCCTCGTAGTCACGAGGGATCTCTCTCTCCGAGCTCTTCTTTCGAAGGGCCTCTCGGGCAAGTACGTTCCAAAGCGCAGCCAACGAGGCGAAGGCCGGCATGCACTGAGGAGGGCGGGAGGGGGGGGCGTCAGTGCGCTCTCTTTTGCTCTCCCTTAAAGAGGCCTGAAGTTCCCACTGGAAATCTATCAGCAGATCGGCAGCTGCAAGCCGGGCTTCTTGGCTGATATATGCCCCCCCTTCTCTTTGTCACGATAGCCGATAGCCCCAGGGGCCCGGCCGCCAGCCCAGGTACGCTGATCAAGTATGCTCCCAATCCGAAGACAAAGGGATCCAAGAGCTTCTCTCGATATGCGAAGTATGAGAAGTCCAAGACCATCGGCGAAACTCCGCTTGTATAGGCCGTCTCCTCAGAAAGGGTGTTGTGTTCTGAATCTCAGGAGAGCATCAAGAACGGAACCAAAGTTGCCGATCTGCTGTGGGCCGCTGCCTCAGCCTAGGTTGTTCAGGACAGCTGCGTCCCAAAGTGAACTCAGGAGCTCCAACGTGGCTACCTCAAGATCCTCGGAAGCGAGCGCTCAGAGAAAGCAGAGGTGGCAGCCATCGGACAAAAGGCCTTCGACGAGGCATGAGCTCGTCAAAAGGGCCTTTTGCACGGGTCAGCTTCGCGAGCACCAGGCCAGCTACAAGCTCAGCGCCTTCAATGGTCCCAGGGGTATCGTCACCTGGCCTTGCACTTACTCCTACTCCCTCCTGCGACTTACAAGAACGTATTCAACGTTTTGAAGACCCGAGCCAATCTCGATTTGTGCTGACGAAAGCTCCATTCGATCTTTTGTCTCTTTAGGCACACTTGTAGTCTTCGATGGCTGTGGAAGGCTTTTGACATTCGAGACGAGCGTGCCGCCGCCCAGCATCGGCTGGATGAGGAGTGGCGAACGAAGAAGCTCCAGAAATGTGCGGCCCTTACCAGGGCATAGTGTCATTCAGAGCGAGGCTCGCAGAGGCTCTCAGAGGCTCCCCTGTTTTATCCTGAGGCGAGCGTGTGGCCAGAGAGCTTAAGCTGCAACCCGAGTCCACGGAGCAGATCGAGGCGATGCACATCCACGAGGAGTGCCGTGGAGCTTCGCTGTGTTCACTGGTCTATGCATGCAGTCAGGACCGAGACCTCCGATTCGAGAGGCGAGTTTGTGATGCCTGGTGCCAGAGACAAATCCAGAAAGCGGAGAAAGAAAAGCGTCTCTCGGATGCATGAATGGATCTGAGCTGTGTCCGCTGTGCTAGAATCACAAAGAGCGCGTTGCAGGTGGAACTTGAGTTTAATCGTGGTTTAGCCTAACAGTATGGACAGACGGCGACCGTAGCATGCACTCCAGTCTAGAATACCTGATGCGGCACTTTCATGTTTCTCCGCGCCGAAAGCTTCGTGCATGGTGGCGTATTCTTGAAACATCAGTTCTGCATTTCTTGGATTTGAGTTTCGATTATGCGACGCAGGGAAGGTGACTCACAAGGATGTCGAGGAAGCGTTGAGCTTGTGGGGCTTCGGCCAAAATGCAGGCCTTCGGCAGGCAAAAGTTTACCTGCTTGAGTTCATTCCTTGATTCTCCGGGGGGCAGGCCGCCTCAACGTTCTGCAGAAGGGCCAGAAGTACGCCTACTCCGACACCTTAGGCTGCATCAGGACCGGCTTGGGAGGCCGCTTTTAGAGCGCAAGAGATGGCTGGCCATGACTCGCAGGAGGCTGAGCCGTGGCATCGGCGTCACCGAGGTGACCAAGCGGTATCCGAACTTTGGCCGCCACAGCCACGGACAACGAACTCTGTCGGAGTGCTAAGACGATGTTGACATTGCTTCCCAAGGTCTCCTGTGCAGATGGCTGAAAGATAACCTGCCCAATGAGGTGAAGGGGAAATTTGTTGATTCCTCAGCAGAACCATAGTCCCGCCTCGGCTTCCGACGGAGAGTCTGAGGTCTGCTCGGCCATCAATCTGAACGCCAACTACGGTGCAGTGCTGCACCGTGTCAGTCACTCAGACACCACGGAGACTGCATGAGTCGGCTGAGCGCAGCTGAGCTGAGGACGGGAACAACGAGGGCCCATCCATCATCCGGGCATTTGGCAACTTCAAAGGTGGAGCTCTTCGGTACTGGCCAAAGGAGCCCACCGGTGTGCCAGACGTAGGTCCATTATTTGTTGCCTTTGAAGGATCGCAAGCCAGCGAAAGGGAAAGCAGCGGTGAGGCCCAAGCTCGAAACGCTGCACCGGAAGGACTCGAAGGTTCTTCCGCCCTAGGCCCAAGCGAGTGCAAGCACAAAGAGGCCTGTCAGCGCCTGCTCAGACCTTCGATATCTACCGCCGAACGCTGGTCTTCGACGGAACTCGAGGACACTCGGTGGAGCCCTTCCAAGGTGTCCGCCGCATGCCGGCACTTAATCGTGGGGATTCAGTTCTGTTCGCTTTCGCCTTGCGATTTCGGCTTGCTCTCTGTAGCGTTTGGATGCGACGGTCCTGTGAGGTTATTCTGTCGTTTTCTTCACCTGCATGGGATACGGCAAATGCAGCAAGACCGACACTGCCGCATCTGAGCTAAACTGCTCAGCGCAGCTTTGGGACAGCGCAAAAGATGCTCCCAGGCCCTGAAGAAGTGGGGCTTCCCTTGGCCAAGTCCGCCGAAGATGAAGGTGCCAAGCCATACACATCTTGGACTGGGAGATTTGTGTACGACAGGAGCTGAAGAAGCTCGCCTTCTCTGGTGATGCCTAAAGGATGCTGAAATGTTGCATCCAGGGGAACAAGCGTGGGTCACGGCGAGTGACTGTAAACACGCTTTTTGTGATTTTGTGGGGTATGCCCAGTCCATTCTGAGCCAGGAAATTGGAGTGCAAGAGCATACGAGGTTAGATGATGCTAGATGGGTTCTGTACGGCCCGGCAATCAGGGCTACCTGATTTGGGCAGACATTCAAAACGTCGGCTGCCTCGTCCAGTGGCTTTTGCAATTGCTTGCTGCTCTTCTTTGTAGCAGCATTAGCTGTAGGAGTAGGAGGAGCAAGAGGGGTAGTAAAAGTAAAGCTACCAAGCGAGCTCTTCATACGTAGCTCTTCGCATGTGTGCTGCTGCTTTCATCAAGAGCTTCGAAGGGCCGCAAAACGCCCAGGCCCGCGCGAATCTTGTTGCTTTGTGGGGAAGCGCTGTTATGATCTAGCCATGTCTGGGGGGTCCGATCTTCGATGAGAGGTTGGCCGTCGCCGTCCGTCCGAAAATATGCCGGACGAGCGGAGCCCTTTGAAGGCGAGAGGTTCTTTTTTGCAGTGTGTCGCGCACGGGCCTAGCTTTGGAATCCGGCAGGGCCGTGGCAGACAGTTGGTCCTGCCCTGGGAGTGAGGGAGCGAAGCAGCGGTAGACTAGACTTTGGCATCGAACCAAGGCACGTGCGGGCGCGGAGCCTGAACCACCTGAACCAACACCGCCAGTGGATGAAAACGTCACCCAGGCCACCTGAATCTGTGATAATGTGGAGTTGTTCGGAACTGTAGAGGGATCTCGATCGTTTATCGTTGAGACACTATATTGCAGGCAGAGAAAGATGCGCACATCAGGCCCCGGACTTGCACTGATGTGCCCTGGAAGTTACTTTGCCGTGAGAACTCGAGACTGGAGGAAGGCGCAGAGGAGCCATTGTTAAACTGTGATGTGACGATAGTGGTGCTTCCAGTTTCGCCGCATTGCGACGACCCACGATGAATCAGGCGAGTCTACTCACCGGTCCTTGCAAAGCCTAGATTACCTTGGGGGTTCTAGGCTTGCAGGAGGAAAAGTTCATACGGATGAAGACGGGGCCCGACCAACTCACTTTGGCAGCTTAATGTTTGTTGAGAAGTACCGACGGACTGCATGATGTCCTGCTGCTGCTGCTGCCGCTGCTGGCGAAACTGCTTTCCAGCCCGCGTTTTTGTTTAGACTTGGCTTTGCCATTATTTCAATTATTTCTTCTTGCTACACCGAATATTTCTGATTGCCATGGCTAGGCAACTTGAATGTAGGCTTAGCACAACCCCGAAAAGCCTCCAACCAAATCAATCAAGCACTTAAGCTGTGAGGATAGAGCAAACCCTAAGCCCAAGCCCCGTCCGAAAAGAAGATCTTAATCTTTGTTGGCAAACCCAACACCCCAAAGGGAGATATTCGTTGGTAAACCCTTAACTCCAAAAGGAGACCCGAGACCCCCAAAGGAGATGTTGCTCTGTAAACCTCGAATCGTGAAGGAAGCGGTTGGTGGGCAAACCGGCATTTGCTTTTCGGGCTTGGGGTTTGCCAGCCGACGCCTTTTTCGGGGTTTAGGGTTTGCCAGCCGGCATTTTCTGTTGGAGCCAGATCCAACCAGCACATTATCGTTTGCACTCATTCCCCTTGTATTCATTCTGAACCAGTTGTTCATCTTTCGTGGATCGTTGTTCACTGCCTGGGAAAGGGCGTGCGGCAATCCTGAATGTTCGAGAAATGAGGAGAGCCTGAAAAAATCTGCATTTTTGTGTCATCTTGTCATCATTTCTTGTTATCATGTTTTCATAAGGTGTTCATAGGTTTTGCATCGTTTGGCGGAACAGGGCCGGGGAAAGGACACGTGGGAACCCTGAAGAGAATTTTCGGAACATGAAGGCCTCAGGAAGTCTTGGTTTTCTGTTCATATTGTCCATCGTTTGGCGGACAAAGGCCCGAACCATTCCTCAAACGATAAACAATGATAGCGAGCGATAGCAAAATGATGATGGAATCAGGGGTGAAAAATATTGAATAAACGAGACTCCGAATGATAGCCAAGATGATGAGAACACGAAAACTGTTTTTGTAGAACTGTTTCAATTTTTACAGAATCTCATAAGGTTGTGCTTTGCCAACCAACATCCAGTGTAGGGTTTGTGGAAGTCCATGGCTTTCCAACCAACAGTTTCTGTGAGAGTGCATAGTTTGTCAGTCAAAATCTCCTCATAGGGTTTAGGGTTAGCCAGCATAGTCTTTCGGGGTATGGGCACCCATATGCCATATAGGTTGCTTGCCAACCAGCAGGTCCCCTTTCGGGGCTGAAGGTTGCTAACCCACATCTCTTTTCAGGGCGTGGGGTATGCAACCCTAGCCCTAAACCCGAAAGCGAAGACTCTCTTTGCTTGGCAAGCCCAAGACCCCCAAAGGAGATGTTCGTTGGCAAACCCCGAACCCCAGTCAGAGCAAAAGGCAACATGGCATAGGTTGTTAGTTATATGTAAGAGCACAGACTCCACACATCCGAGGTGCTCTGCGTCGCCCTGTGGGTTGCAAGCCTGTATGGTCTTTACGTGACCCTGAGTGCCTCTGATGCGGAGAAGTGCTGGGTTTTTGCATGTATGTTGGGTTTGCTTGCTGAACGGCTTCGTTCTGGCTCCATCGTGAGAAGCAGCTGAGTTTATGCCTGGGAGAATGGGGACACCAGACGCCTCTACCATGGTCAGCTTCCAAGCTTCAAGCCTCTAGAAATTGATGAAAATTGCATGAAGTGCTAGCCTCCATGCAGCATTGGTGCTGGCAAGGCCTGAACTGGGAAAATCAGCTCTGCGGTGTCGACGCCGAAGTTAGCGCAAGCACCCCAGAAGCGGCATGTGGGCGGTCGGGGTGTGACGAGCATGTGGTCTCTGCAGGCCAAGCCGTACCTGTACTGGTGCACGAAGCCCAGCGACAATGCGCTAAGCCAGGCGGCCAAAGACTGGACAGGGAGCTGTTCGGGGAGAAAGCCGACACATGAGATTGTCTTGGTGCGTGACCAGGGTGATCTGTCGGCAGCCAACCTGCCGAGCTCTATAACGGATGCGTCGCTTGACTAAATTGAGCTTGTCTGGGCTCCTTCTCACATTGTCATACCAAGGGCTGGTCATCTTATACCCTTGGCCAATGCCATTCTGAGCCCTAGCGAGACGATGGATTTGCTGCATCCGCCGCGTGGCATGCATGCCGAAGCTTCGTTTCGATCCTTTCTTCCAGGCATGTCCGATCAGCACTCAGGAAGGTCGAGACGAGCATGTCACCAAAAAGAATTGTGTTGCGAGGCGTGTTCGATGACTGTCGCAGTTGCGCAGTTCTCTGGAAGCTAAGGATTTGTCTCGCATCTTGCCCGCAGGACCGCAGCACATTCCATCCTTGTCTGCAGTCGCCAGGCTGAAGTAGTCGCATCGACTTTCCTCGGATCTCCTGGAACTCCGAGTTGGGCCTCTCAGGAACGTGGAGACGCAGCAGCAGGCCCCGAGGAACTTCGATGGAGCCTCGGAAGCACAGGCCCAGCCATGGCAGCGCTCAGAAAGTGCCGGCTCACCAAAGCTTAGGCTGCTTGCTGCTGAGGTAGCTTTTGGGTGAACAACACCTACATCTCCCATCTTGATGCTCGATAGCATGCGCGAGGGATCCTCCTTTTGGGTTTCATTCTTATGGATGGGGCCGCGAGGAGCAGGGCGACATGCGGATTTTAGTACTTGCGTGCTGCGCATCGATTGTGCACGCATCCGCTTAGTCTCTTAGATCCGTCGCAAGGCTTTTGAAATGGCAGATCGTTGCTGATGTTGAATGTCAGGAGAATCTGTCATCAGTGCGTGCAAGCAACACACCGCGGCCAGGATTTGGTCGAACTGGCCGGCCAAACATACTCACCGTGGTACCCGCACAAGCACTAGCGCAAGGGGGGAGATGGGGAAGGGGGAACAGGTGGGGCCAGTAAGAATGCATGCGATCGGGTGCTGCTTTTCAAGGCAGCACCAGGATGCTGAGTGCATTGTGTACCTAAGGTTCAGGACATAGAGACAACGCTCTTTGCAAAGCGCTTCTGCTTGCCGAAGGAGCCTGTGAATCTGTGCTTCAGCATGCCTGCAGTTGCCAGTGGGTGCCAGTGGGCTAGCGGCTAGGAGAACTTTCTGGTCGAGTGCCTCGGCGAGTTGCCGTGTCGGAGTGCTGGAGCTCCGGCTCGAAGCGGAAGAAACTCTCGTCGGCATGGAAACGTGTCGGTCCGTTGCTCCCCATGCTGCTTTCTTGGATGCCTGCTGATACGGTCGGAAGCTGTAGGAAACCTAGAAGCCAGGCAGCTCAACGAGACGCTGAGTGGCTCGATGAATGCAGTGATGTACAAGACGCAGGAAATCGTGAGCGCTCGCCGCGTCTACATCCTGGTAGGAGCGATTTCGGTGCCCGATCAGACTTCAAGAGGCTTTGGACGACTTCTTGTTAGTGCAGGGCTTCGTGCTTTTGCCGTGACCGAGTGTAGAGTCCAGTTTCAGTGCTCTTCTGTGTCCCGCGGGGTCAGCTGATTGGCTACAGATTAGAGTGGGTGGCACAGCCAACGTAAACATTTTGCCTGTCCTTCACACCTCCAGGAGGATTGGCTGTTCCGCGGCTGCACCTGCGATCCAGGGTCATCTGAGTGTTGCTGATTCACTTGGGTGGCTATCTGAGATCCTGATGTGCTACTTATACCTCTTTGCCATTGATCTCCTTGCAGCGCCCGCTTCGACCTCAGCTGCAGAGTGTGTCAGAGGCTTCACACTGGCAGTATGCTCAGATCATCTACGGCATGCTACTCATCGCCACAGCTGGATCGTTCTTGACTTCGCTGTACTTCTTTTACGCAGCCTTGCGCATCGAACTAGGCAGGGCCCGGGCACTTCTTGCCACGAGCACGCCAGTGACACAATGCAAACGCACGTGGCATCGTTTGGGGCTGTAGGGCTTCAGGCTTTCATGTTTATCATTTTAGAGTTTAGGGTTTAAGTGGACGTGAGGATTCGGGCTTCAGGATGGTTTGTGCCTAAGGTCATCTGCAGGAACGCTGCCGAACACACTGCTAGCCTGCTAGCTGCCAGCAAAGTCAAACGACGATAAGTTTATCACGAAGGCGAGCTATTTTGGAGCTTGCGATGTGGGTCAATCGAGACTTCAGGTGCCTTTAGCTCCTGATACACCAGGGATCTAATGGTCAGCAGGGGGAGAGACCTTCTTCCCCCACCTTGTTCCCTGATCCATCAGAGAGGCCGCTGTCGGTTCGGAAGGCCGGGGGGGGGCCCTACCTTGAGGCTCCCCCGTAAGGGTTCAGCATACAGACAGGAGAGCTGCTACCATTCGGCAACCTAGCCGCCGCATACATCCACACAGCTGAAGACAGCAAGGTTGCCTGGGTCGTTCAATACAGGCGTAAATGTCGCATCGCAGCATACAAGGAGCACTACATCATTTACGTTCGCTTACCAACAACTGAAAGGAGCCCTCCTCCAAAGATCACCAAAAGATGAAAGACTCCGTATTCCTCTACGCTGCTCTGTTCACTGTTGCTTCCTGAAGTCTTTGGTGGAATCTTTGAGGCCGCTTAGAGAATTGAAAATAACGCTTCTGGTCAAGCTGCCAGGACAGGCCCTGTCGGTGAGCGAGGAGGCCGGGCACGCTTTGCTGATGGTAGATGGCAACATCCAAGCATGTGGTGCTTGAGGTACCGGTAATGGCCCAACCAAAGTTCCACATTTCCTCGCTTCCTAAGGCTCTGCCTCTAGTAGAAAGCACGAGCGCCCTGTCTGATTGAGTCATGGTGTCCTCTGCACATTGGCTGGGTCATGAGTTGTGAAGACTTGTTGGGTTTTGACACACTTGGAAATGCTGCCTTTCCGAGATGATCGTAACTGGGACCTGGTCGTTGGCGGAGTAAGTCTTCTTATCGGCATCGCGACTCTTGGCAGAGAGCTAACAACCACACATCCACAATTGAGATGTGTGGATGAGGAGCAGTCTGCTTGGCACTAGACGGGCCCAGGGTACAGTTCCATGAGCGACTTCGCCAGCAGAAGCTAAGGGCAACTTGCTTTTGGTGCATCCTGACAGCAAAGTGGCGCCAGAGCAAGACCAATCGGAGGGTACCATTCCCCAGGCTGCAAAAAGAACTCCATCACCTTCGTGATTGCTGCAGTCAAAGCGACTATTCGGATACTTTATGACGTCTGGCACCAAGCAATCGAGTTTCTGTGGGCAAGGGTTCCATGAGGTACAGAGAAGACCCCTGTGATTTGGAACAGGTGAACTCACTCGTGGATTTGCAGCTTGAAGGTGGAGGTCCATGCCTTTACTGTGCGACTGCTCCGTCGGTTGAGGTTCCTCAGCTTATCCTGCTGCCTGCGGCCGGTGCTGTCGTTCGTGGTGTTATCTTCATCATCTTCTTGTGGCTTGGCTTTACATTCGGGGCGGAGAGCTGCAGTCAAAGCTAAGCAAGCGCAAACTTGAGAATCTACGCGGTGAAGGTGGGGGGGTGCGCTGCTTGTCTCTGCTGGAGAAGTTGTGCCCTGGCTGCCCAGAGTGCAAAGCTCTCCGAAAATCAGCCGTCCTTGAGAAAACTTGAGGAGTGACGGTCGCATAGGAAATTGAGACCGGATTCCGCAAAACCTTGCAGTTGTGCATTGACGTGTAAAACCATGCGCAGCCGCGGGTGGCTCATTGTTGCGATTAGCAGCGTTGTCATGCTTTGCAGCCGCGCAGTAGATTTCGCAGTCTCTGCGGTTGCAGAGGAGCAGTGTGCAAGGACGAACAGTTGAGCTTTGATGGTCTTGGAGCTGCACAAAATGCTACAACAGCCGCACGAGAAGACCTGCACAGCGAGGGTGAATGTTGTTCGGAGCCGACCTCAGGAAGCATCCCATCTTTGTCTTTTCTCCCATCAAATCGGGTAGAAACTTTCATTGAAACGTGCGCGAGGAGAACGCCCAGCCTTCTGCAACTGGCCATGTTTTGCCACGTGTCCGAAATCCACATGAAAGAAGATTGGCACGTGGGGCCCGGCTTCTGTGGTCAGTACATTGCTGTCCAGCAAGCGGGGCAACGCCGACGCCGAGGGTTGGCAAGAGCTTTTACAAGCGTGACAGCCAGCGGGTGAAGGGACACCACAGTGCGATCAGCACATTTGGTGCTTACCTGCGCGCAGTATTTCCGAACCGTCTACGAGAAGTCTGTTATCTTCAAGGCCAGCCGCTCTTGGAAGCTATCTAGAAAAGGAGGAGAAAGTGTTCTTGCTGCCTGCTGCCAGAGTCTCGCTGTCCTACGCGTGCGAAAGACGAGGAGAAGAGTCTCCTGAGTGAGGCTTTGAAGCCAAAGTCCCCCACCCCCGCAAAAGTGGCAGAGGACATGGAGAATGAATTGCCTGGAATGCTGAATGCCTGGGGTCAGTTTGGACCCGCCGCAGAGATCAAAGCCACTAGAGACGTTGCAAGCGGGCAATGACAAGAAGATTTGTGCTGTCGGCGAAGGTGGCCTTGCTCGGTCCGTGCGGAACGGCATTCAGTGTCTTGTAACCATCTATCAGTGGCTACTGTTTTCTATCCGCAGACGGATGAGCCGGTATTGGAGATTTGGTTGCGGTCACTACGAGACTGAAGACCTTGTAAATTCTGTGTCTTCATGTTACAGGGAAGCAACTGCCTGCGTCAACGTCCAAGCTCTGGTGATTTGAACGGGTCTTTTGCCTATAGTGATGGTTTGGCGAGGGCCACTCCCGAGTTTTCGCAGCGCTGTCCCAGCATTGATGAATCGAGCTGAATTGCTCGAGCAGCTGAACGAAAACCTTACGTACAAACCGGCTCGGCCTTGTGTACTTCTACGTGTTATCATGTACCAATACTGTTCCAGGCACTGTCCGTGTGCCGGCTTCGGTCCTTTTTGCCACGAAGATTGAAGCCTTCTGCGGCAAGGTGATCAAGCAGCCGCCAACACCAGACCCTATGCTTTCTGTAATGGGCAAAGATTGTGTGACTTATCGCATTCCTGTGAATCTTCGATCCACCCCGATGAACCTGCATCAGTGAGGATGTAGGTCCGGAACGGCTCGGATTTCAAGCCTCTCGGAATCCAGTGGGTTGCCGACCAGGATTTTCCCCTTGCAGAGCTGCCGCTTTCCGCGAGATGAGAAGATGTTCATGCTGTAATGTGCGGCAGACCCAACACATGTAAGACGGTAGACTGGTGACTTGTGACTTGTGCACACTTATTCCAAAGCTTCCAAGATTGCCAAAATCTGCTGTTGCAAATTTCTCGAAGCTGGCTCAGGAACAAGTGGATCTCACTCAGTATGTGCCCAAGGGCATCGCCCGAACATTCTCTCACACTCAGGACGAGACGCCTCTTGTTCGCACTGGCCTGGCGAGTGCACTGCACCGGCATGATATCTGGATTTGCTGTTCAATCCCGACATCGTAGTTTCATAGTGTTTCCGAAGTCGTGTCACTATGAATGAAGCAGAGAGCCTCCTGGTCATCACGACTGATTCGGCAGCATATCGAAAAGCGTGCACAACTTCGTGGGCATCCGGAGGCTTTACATTGTCTACTACTGCTTTTCTGTTTTTTGGATGTGGGAGTGGCTCGGCAGCAGGTTGCAGCAGGGCCCAGTATGCGAGCGTTTGACAGTCGTTTTTGGCCTCTGTTTCACGTCTGTTCAGGCTGCTGCTTGCCTTGGAGACCTTTGCTGGGCTCTTACAGGGGTGAAAAGACATGCGCAGAGAGGCATTCAGACGCGGCCTTTCAGGTGGCTTCCTACACGGTGGTCATCTGGTACAACGCCCCACTGGCAAATGGAAAGAAGCGGGTGCCTGGCCACTGAGTTCAGGAAGCAGTCGCGTCACGAGTGTCGCCCGAATGGAGGTGCCCTGCTTCCCTGTTGTGCGAGCCTTCTTTGTGGGCTGCTTGGCTCAATTTATTGACATTCGTAAACGGCAGGAGCATCGCTGCTGATGTGCCTTGCTTCTTGCCATGTTCACGTCTCAAGGGCTGACCTACCATCTCGGGAGTTTGCTTTTCGGAGCTGTTCCGCGCTTAGTGCTTTCTGCCCAGCAGCCTTGGCCCTATTGTCGATTCCCTTCTGTACAGATCATCCTGGCAATCTTTCGCGGTGCTTACATGATCGTGTCCTTGCTCGAATCGCAGGCCGGGGAGGGGCCGCTAGCCAGCGCAGCAAGCTGCACCTAAGTGGGAACAGAAGAAAGCTGAAAGGAGAAACAACAACCAAGTAGTCGGAATGCGGGCCTGCTGGCAAAACACTTTTCTTGCGAGATGTCTCCTTTTCCGAGATGATGGTCCCTCTGGGAGTAGTCAAAGTAAGCGACAACACAAAAAGAACAAGCTAACAAAGAAGTCTCCACTCTCATCACGAAGCTTGTCCTCCGCAGCAAACTCGGCTTCGCAGCGTGAACACTTCCGGCGCGTGCTTTCGCCAGACGAAATGGCTCGCGCACTGATCTTCTTGATCTTGCCTTTCTTGGCCATGGCTGGTCCAGATGCACTCCGGGGAACGAAAGACGCCATGGCCTGCTCGGGCGACGGGACTCCCGGGGGCCGGTGTTTTTTTGTGGAACTGTCCTAGCGGTCCTAGCCTGGCCTCAGCTCTCCTTGCTTCCCTGCAGGAACCTGCCGACCATCGAGAGCGGGAGGCCTCGTTGCTACGGTGGGCAGCTCTTGATGGAGACCTTCTCGCTCAAGCTCCTCAACTACGACGGCTCAACGGGCGTGGTGGACATGAAGGCCGAGGGACCGCAGGCTGGCCAATGCGATGGCGCTGCATTCCAGAACCAGGACGCTAGCACGCAGACTTTGACTGCCACAGTCCCGAGGTTTTTGGTGTTCTGTTCGGTAGCTTTCGGCAGCTGGAAGCGTCTGGTGACGCACCTTCACTTCGAACCCTCAGCAGCAAAGCCTCAAACAGCAGCTTCCGTGCTGCATGCCAGCTTCGCGGGTGGTGAAGCCTAGATCCTGCAGCAAACCGATGAGAGCACCTCTGGAAGGATGATGTTTTGAAGAGAGCGCTCCCTGGAAAACAGGTCTTCCTTGAAGGTCCGAACTCTGATCCCCACCCCGCATTACGATGGCAAGACAAGCTACGCAGCGCAACCTCGTCAGCCATGTGTTCATGCGGGGCTCGGTTGTTGCTGGTTTGCAAGCGGCCCGACACAGCCGGCACAAGCTGTGCAGAGTCGTTAGAGTCGTTAGAGAGTAGAGCCCTAGTCCCTAGTGTTGGCAGGTTAGACAAGTCCGAGCTGTTGGTACCCAAAAGCAAGTCCGTCAGATGCTGTTCCTTGAAACGCTTCCCATTGGAGGGCACCGCTGGTTTCTTTAAAGAACCGATCAACCCAGACAGCCGGTCATGAAGTGTTTCGTTGTGCACAGGCCCTACCACAAACCATGATGCTGTATGTGTGCGAAGTGGAAGAGGGACATCCATGAAATCCGCCACACTCACATTATCCAAACCAGGACAACGCGGTGACAATTGAGAACGAGGCTGATTGTGGCCTGGGCTCTGCGGAGTACAGTGTCAGGTATTGCCCGGATCAGGACAAGTTCCTGGTCAGCATTTCGAAGCCCTGGACTGTGCAAGTGGCACTCTCCAGCCAGGAATGCGCAACGCCAGTTGCTGGCGGGGAGGTCTAAGCTCCAAGCGCGCCAAGCGCACCAAGGACCAAGGGCCGATCCGAGTCTTTTGGATTCACGGCACCGAACAGGATCGGTGCTCTGGCTGGCAATGTCCAGTCTTGCACATCAATTCGAAAGATTAAGGTCTTGAGGAAGCAGAATGCCAGAAAGAGGTCGTGAGACTTTGAACCCGCTGGTCAAGTTGTGTAGAAGTGATTCATGCATCTAGCCGACGCTAGCCGAATAGCCAGAGCACCTTCACACTACGGATGAGTCTCAGCATGGTGGCACAAAGGGTAGCAGGTACCAGTTGTCTTTGTCTTTGTCATGGAGCTGCCTGTGACATTCGGTACCGACAGGTCCGTGGCAAGGGAGACGATGAGAACGTCACTTGGGCAAGATTTCGATCGAACAAGCGAGCCACACTGAAAGAAAGACGCCCAGGATGTTGCGAAGACATCTGCCGCCTGCTGCTGCTGTTGCTACTTGGTTCGGTTCTACGTTGCACAAGTGTCGATGCAGGGGCGCACATTCCAAGCCTGGAATTGCAGCACGTGGCCGTGGCCATGAACTGACGCAGCAAGTTGGATTTAATTGGAGCTGGGCTGTGAGGTTTGCAGTGCGTGGAGCAGATCCTGCGCTACCTCAACAAAGGCCTTGCTTGGGAGATAGCATGTCACGCAACATGCTCTTGTCTACAGGAGCCTATGTACTGATTGCCGTGAACTCCGACAACTACTGTTCGGCTGCAGACAGGACAAGCCAGTGTTCGTTGCTTGTCATTGGACTGAATGGTCACTGAAGATTTCACCTGCGAAGGGCCTTGCGTCTCATGTCCTCCAACATCTTTGAGCTCGGCTTGCTGCAGGGCGCCACGGTCTTGTTCCAGGTGCCCTCCAGTCATCCAGCCCGAGCAAACGGCCCTTTGTGATGACCTTGCAGCAGGTACTTGGGAATGTGGTGATTCCTGGACTCGGGGGATACCTCACGTACCTAATCGCCACTTGCAAATCTTATGAGCGCTGTGAGCTTGGGCTTGGGCTTACATGCTTTTGCCAGCTTCGTCCAGGTGCGGCATTTGGAGTGGTTCAATGATCCTGCTTCAGACCACTTCGTGGCACAGCCGGACCTGGTGGCAGCTTGGGGCTCAGCCAGCCTAGGGCCTAACCGCCGGCAGCTGAACTGAAATGCCTTTTGCCGTTGCTTTCTCCTTCCCTCGGGACGAGCAGTGAGGTCGTGGGTGCCCTCATCTGCTTGGCAGTCTCGCTGGCATTCATGTCCGTCTTTGACACTGCCCACGCCTGAGATCTTGTGTGCATCAATTTGCAACGGCGGTCAGAGCTCTCTGAGGTTTCTGATGCCATGATCTATGCATACATCACAGATGAGGAATGGAGGCACGCGATACCTGGAACTTCAAGTCCGACAGATCTCTAGCGAGCAGAGCCGCCCGACTCCGTAGCACAGCCGGAGCTTGTCAGGCAAGAGAATCGTCTGCCTCCAAATCCGAACATTCCACCGACACAGAGCTGAATCTTTAGCTTCGGTCGGCCTACTAAACTGCCTTCTTTTCCGAACGGGAGTGGGTGTTCAAGTAGTGCACTATCACGTGCGTGCTACAACCAACTGACACGTGTGCAAGATGGCGGATCTGCATTTGCAACCTGAACGAGTGGCCTGCCGAGGAACTTGAAGAAGCTTCTCCCGGAGTCCCAGCAGACCGATGACGAGTAGAGGTCTCTTCGCTGGCGCTGTCTGAAACGATGGTCACATGCACGACTTAGTTTTAAGCTGCTCGTAGATGTTACTCACGTTCGTTAGGTCTGCAGCCCTTGGCCCGTCTGTGGCATCCGGGCAGTTTAAGTCTTCGCTCCAGTCTGTACTGACGGGAGCACTTCTCGTACCTTACCTTGTCGCGGCGACCGAGTGCCTAGAAGCCTAGAGCCTGTCCAGACGGGGCCTTCCAGCTCCGCTGGGGAACTGCTTGGCGAACCCCGAAGTGGAGTCTGCCGAAAAGCCGAGTCATCTCCGGGGCCGATTCGCCTTCGGCGGTTCCTTCTTGGTCCTCTGCACTTGTTTCGTCCTGGCTCGAAGCTTCCTCGGTGTAGGCCATTGAGCAGCAAAATCTGCAAAAGATCGCAATGCAAACCCACCAGACTCAACTTGTGACCGAGCAAGTCCTTCGTGCGGAACGTCAGGATTCAGAAACTCAGCTTGACCTTGTAAGATTCATACAAATAGTATGGTGGATGAGTCGCCAACGCCCATACTGCCAGTAAAGCTGCGAAGTTGCAACTGTATCGCGGAGTATCTTTGCCTTGGGGTTGTCTTTGGCAGGCACACATTCCCATTGCGTCGCTACCGCAAACGAACAGGCATTCAGATTCGATACGGCCATCAATTAATTTTGGCAAATGGCACAAGCCTGCAGGGATATGCAAGGGAGCTGCACCGGTAGCAGACGTTGTGCACATTCGGGGTTGCTGCACAGCGACACCCAAGGTCTTTTACGCAACTGCAAGCGCCACTGCTGTCTGCTCGTCAGCTGTCTGACTCGCGCCGGCAGTGCAAGCTTCCGCATTTCATTGTCCAGTGGCCAAGAAGATCCTCCAAGAGTCCCCACAAAGGGACAGAAACTCAGGATCGCCAGGTTGAAGTGGAAAATCTGCCGCACTCGAAGAGACCTGTGGGAGCCTCAGGACTCCGGAACGAGCCAGTCCACCATTGTTTTTGTCTTTGTTGTTTCTGAGTTTTGCCTTTCTCTCTCTCCGTCCCGCTCTCCCGGCCCCTCTCCCTCCCTCTTGCTGCCACTTTCCCTCCCTGCGCCTCCCTCTTGAGGAGCCGCAGCTTGAGACATCCCGATTGTCTGTCCATGCAGAGCAGAATGTGTTCATGAATCGCAGCACCTCATCAACGGGTAGCAGACTAAGCATTGCACTCATGGATGGCCTGCTCATCGCAGGGAGCACAGGGAGGCGCTGGTTTCTCCTTTGAATCGTTGCGTTGGCGGACTGTGGTAGAGGGGACCTTCGGGTTTACAACTTCTGGAATCCCTTATAGGATCCTGGTCCTTATGCTTTATCCAGGGGTCGGAATATTTCGTATTAGCAATTTTTAGTAGTATTCCCACATGGTTCCTCACATATGCATAGTAGAAATTGCACCAAAACCATTTTCTGCTAAATTCAGGCCCCAATACTATGTGGTTCCTGGGGGGGGGTTAGAGGAGGCACTCCTTTCGGAGCTGTAGCCCCGAGTTAGGGGTATGGCGTGTGTGCGCATGCGCATGTCTGCAGACGAGTCTGTGTCTGAAACCTCCAGGTTGACGATCTGTTCGACTTCACGCAGGAATTTATTGAGCGGGGCTACCATGCAGAGCCGCTCCGCTTCTTTGGACGAGAATCTGCCTGTCCCTTCCTCCCTCGCTCGCTCGCTTGCTCGCTCTGTTAAATGACACTACCCTTAGAATGCTCCCAATGAACATGATATCTAATGCTATAATGTCGAATAGGACGACTGGCGTGGTCGCATAAAGGAATGTCCGTGTGATTGTATATCACTGGGGGAAGTGACTGGTCTCGGTTGGCTGCAACTGTTTGGATTGTAGCTTGGAGTTTTGCACACTCTCGCTCTCTCCCGCTCGCTCTCGCTCGCTCTCTCCCGCTCGCTCTCGCTCGCTCTCTCTCGCTCGCTCTCTCTCTCTCTCTCTCTCTCTCTCTCTCTCTCTACGTGCGGCTGTGGAGAGACATAACGGTTTCTGTTAAGAGTCGCCTCTTCTTCCCACATCGTGGCCTCCGTTCGTGTTCCAAGAGCGATTCGGGTTGCAACCAGGAGCATGTAAGTATGTGGACCAACGACTTCTTCGCTACAGTCAAGGATGCTGCAAGAGGTGTAGTGATGACCTGTGCTATAGGATGGAGGATGCCTGTTCGAGCAACAGCTGTCGTGATGCCGAGAGCAGCTGAGTCTGGCCATGTCTGAGGTACGCCAACTGGAGAGACTCATACCTGAAATGGCGTACCTTGTCAGACTGAGAAATGGATTTTACACCTGGGCGTGGACGGTGTATCAGGGCAGTCAGACTCAGTAAAGCAGTTGCAATTCTACCAGTAGCGGCAAATTTCTCCAATTGGTTGTCAGCATGTGCATGTATCATTCGGCTTTGATCCCCTCTGCAAGTAGTATGATCCCCCCAAAGGACAGGGCGATGCCAAGGGAGCCAAGGGCGAAAACGCCCATACCACGCACCTGCGAAACAGGCATCACAGCTTCCAGAGTGCGGGCTGTGGCTTTGTGTGATTGTGCGTATTTGTAGTCAAAGCTGCTCGCTCCGGCACCAAAAGTTTCAATGCATTTGGCGCACTGCTGTGGGCAGGAAGCAGCGCACCTTCGAATACTGGTACCCGACCGTCTCCAATTTCAACTTCAGACGCACCTGTGCCTATTGGACACTCGGTCGAGTTCTCTGGGCTGCCTGCTGACCTGCAGGCTCTGTCACCTCCATGGCATTTGCCCGAAATTCGCTCGGAGAGTAGGCGGTCAGAATGTTCTAGTATTCCCGTAGTGCGAAGCCGGTTGTCCTGTGGGCTTTCCCCCGCATTCGGATTATTGACATGATGCTATGATGCATGGCAGATCCATGTGTTTATCACGGTTCACTGCTGCTTCCGCTTCGACGGTTTGTGTTTCAGCACCTAAGGATTGGTGTGCTTTTCGCCACTTCGGCCGCATATGGTGAATCCAACTCGCCCAGGCTTAAAGCGTGCAGCGGCGCAGTTGTCGGTATGATAGAGTTGTTGCGTTGTAATATATCAAGTACGACTGGGAACCAGAAGGAGTTCCAGTCAGAAGTACGATTACAGTTTCCAGTTCGAGTGAGTCGTACTTTTGAAGGAAAGTACGGTTCCAAGTGCAGCCCGACAGCAGCATCGCGATCACACGCGGAATCGCTTTCCGAAAGAAGATACCAAAGCTTACCCAGACTGTACCTGGATTGCATTGTGCTTGATCTTATCCGAGATGTCTAATGGTCGCTTCGGGGGTACTGGTAGACCCGATCGCAAACTCATCCCGATGAAAGAGCAAGGCATTTGGTTGATGGCTTGACATGGACTGGCAGTTTTCGGGCATCTTAGGCCAAAGCAAAGGCTATGCTGACACCTTACAAAAGCAATCTGCGCTTGTACCATCCGAAAGCACAGGTGGAAGGATGTCTGTTCTTCCTTTGGCCACCTCTCTTTGATGCCTTCTGGCCCGGGGCGCCCGCGCGGATGAAGTGCCTTCATCTGAACGGAGTCCGATGCAATGCTAGGGCCCTAAAGCAGTCGGCCGACGCTCCTGCCTTGGCCAATTCGCCGATGCGGTTTAAGGTTGCGTTGAGGCTTCAGATTTTTGTAACATGGGGGCCCCTGCTGCCTGCTAGGTCTGTGATGTACTTGTTGTGGACCGTCCGCTTTGATAGTCGGATCTCAGTAATGGTAGTCTCAAGCAGGAGATCACCGACAGTCGCCCCTTTCAGTCCCAATCCGCTGTGCCGTTTCCTGAAATCCAACGACGATTTGTTTCCTTCTCACAAGTTCAGGGAACGAGGTCTGGGCAGCGCCACTTTTCCGACTCAGCCTCACTAGTTCCAACAGCTTCGTATGTGATCGCGAGGTTCTGGATAAGTAAGATTCCACTACTGGTGGGAACTTCGACCTTCGGATCCGGCATCTACATGGGATTCTTGTCCTGATTGATTAGCAGCGCTTCCTTTCTATCCATCTTGGCTAGCCACAGGCGACTTCCTTTAATGAGGGCAGGGCGGTGTTGTTTTGTGATTCCTTTTGACCGGATTTCTGGGCCGTCGAAGGATCGCAGGTCAGAAGCTCTCCTTAACATGTCAAAGGCATCTTGTCGCGTTCTGCTGCACGGCGCCGAAGTGTGGCTCTGGATCGAATCGAACCTTGAGCTACTGACAACTTGCAACTTCTGGGTAGGTCGGTGCATTTACGAAACGAGATATCAAAAGGAGCGCCTGCCTGTGCCGACAATGTCACGATGGGACGCAAACTGCCATCTTGACGGTTTACTCCTGGCTGTGCAGTCCTCTGGCCTCGCTCCACTTTCCCAACAGACCGAGTTGTACTCTGTGGGTCTGTCGGCATGATCGGCATGGTGAGGCTACTTGGAGCTCATTAACATGGACGTCGATGTCTCGGAGCGACGCACCTCGGCGGAGACCTTGTGCCTCACCTTGGGAAGGCGCTCCTGTCTCTGCTGTGCTGTGCCCTCTCCACTCTGAGGGGCCAATCTTATATGGTGCGAATGGCGGGCGCTCTACAACGTCCTGCTGGAGGCCAAGGAGGACAATGGTGAAGGCACTGGAAGCCTGCCAACTTTCCGGTACCAGCTTTCATGTGTGTGGTGGTGAATTCGATAATGTGGCAGGGGCTTTCGTTGATGGGCAGGTGGAGGCGAGATCGGTGACGATGGCGAAAGCTCCGTCGCTGGCAGCTGCTGAGCAGCACCACTTGCGACACATTTTGAGCATCTCCCTGCAGCTGAGGCGAGGTCTTCTGGTACCAGCCGCTTTCCTCCATCCTCGGCAGCGGTCTCAGCAGCCTGACCCGGCGAAAGAAATGCAGATGCTGCAGTTGCTGCACCGCTCTCTCTCGCTGAGCTAGGATGGGTCATCTACATGAGTGGCGCCGTCCTGTTCCAGATGGCAAACACTGCAGACCTCTTTGACATGCCGCAGGACTCGGACTACTCGCATTCGCGAGCTCCGCAGCTCCGCATGGACGGTCGTAGCGACCTGACGATGTGGCAGTGGCACTTCGGGTGGCGGCGTGTCGGCACCTGTTCTTGCCGCAATCGTTGATGTCTCCGATGCCTCTTCATATGGGTCCTTGTCCACAGAAGGCAGCAGAGTGCCTCGCCAATCTGCTATCTGTTTGCTTACATGGTTGTCCATCGGAAGCTAGCTTCTCATAGTCATCAGTAGCGCACCGGCATTGCGCTGAGCGTCCCTCGCACAGTGTACCCGGAGGCTGTCTTTGCTTAAGGCTTGTAAAGTGTCCAAGTTGCAGAGGAGATGCATGAAACCATCGTGGAGTGGCCGCTGATCTTCGGAGGCCGGACCCGATGCGCTACGGAGATTACTCCACGACTGTCTGAAATTGAAGGCCTGTGCTTCTTCTTCGGCGGCATTGCAGAGGTAGCAGCTTGGACTGACAGCCATGAGGCAATCTTCGTCGCGGCATTTGTGGCTGAACTTGTCTGCTTTCAGTAGAGGTTCACAACCGCTGCTGGGCAACTCCACCAGACACTTTTGCTTCTTGGCTGCATTCTGATGGTGAAAGAGCCAGTTCGTGCACTCATCCCCATCTTCCGAGCAGCATGCACCCAACTATGCAGTGCAGAGGGCTGATGGAAAGCCCAATGCCTATGCCTTGAAGGGTCGGGCAAACGGCGCGGATGCGGGCAGCAGAACGATGCTCCTGAACTGACGTCCCAAGACTTGCTCAGAGAGCAGGGTCACGTCACGTCTTTTTCCGCTTCGTTCAGGTGTGGTGGTCTTCTGTGTTGAACTTCTTTGGTGGCATCGCTTTCTGGCTGTGTGCCTGCTGATGCCTTAATTTCGCAGGCTGTGGCATGACCTGTTGTCATGTAAGTATCGCCCCGTCCGAGGCCCGGAGACCCTGGGCGACCTCACCACTCCGATTGGGGTAGGAGGCACGATTGCCGGCCGTTGCTTGCTGTGTCGGTCTTCTTGAGTCTCAGCAGAAGTCTGTCAAGCTCCCCGCCGTAAGTGTAAGGTACAGTGCTGTACCTGATTGGTGCCGTTCTGGGATTATGTATGTGGCCCTTCGACTGCAAGTGACGTGAAGTGTAAGCCCCCGCCATCGAAGCTTCAAGCGATTTGCTGCACAGCCCTGAGAGGCGCGGGGAGCAATTCGGCTTGAGCCTGATCTCAAACTTGAACAGTCGCTTGGTCCAGAGACATCCAGTTTTTGTGTTTTGTGAGCCATCGTTGGCCTCTGCCGCCTGTGCCAGAGCTGCCTCAGGAGTGCAGCGTGTGGACGGAACGAAGATCGCAGTCCGGACACATGCCGAAACAGGTGTAGCTTGGCACGGGTAAAGACTGCAGGCCGCACATCCAGGGGCTGATGGGGTTTCGATATTAAGGTCAGTGAGATCATGCCAATCAACCCGCAGGCGTGGCAATGGCAGCGTATCATGAACCACGCCTCATCTGTCCCCCCTCGCCTTGAGTTTGTGATCCTACAGGTAGTTGACATATGTTCCTGCCGGGAAGACAGTGTGCTTCGTGCGGCGTGATGCACCCAGTTCTTTGAGGCTTTTCAACTGGATGACACCAAAAATGCTTTGCAGCCCAAGTTGTCCTGGCGCGGTCCCTCGGCGTTCTTTTCTTGAGAATTCTGAGTGTGCTTACTGGAGTCCTAGGAATTCCTAAATGAGAGATGAGATTGTTTCTGCATTGCGATGGTGACTGAGGACTGATCTTCGTGCTACTGCGCCTCGGATTGCAGAAAGTTTGAGAGCCGGGAGCAGAGAGTGCAACCCTTTGAGCAGCCCGGTGTGCAGGTGTGTGCTGTGGGGCACAGCATCGATCCTGCACGTTTTTGCAGTTCCAGCTGCACCATGGGAGTTTGAGTCCACATCAAGGACCTATCGAAGGCTCGATGGAAGAGCCATCACCCGCAGCCGTGCTCACTGAAGATCCCCGACAGGCACTTGCTTTCGCAGGAAATGACGAGCATCGTCCATGCCATTGGCAGCTTGGCTTCATCTCTCCGTGGAGTCTCGCGGAGTCTCGCACCGAGCCTCCGCTCGGGAAAAAATTCTCTTCTAAGGCGCTCATCTTATCATACTCCTGAACTCTGCAACCGTCAATGTGGAATCCTTAGAGCAATTCGTTCCAAAGAGCTTGCTCGACCATGCTTCTGCCTGACTACATGCCCCTGGCATGTGATTCAAGGTGCCGGCGGAGGAGCCGTTTCGCTTCATGACGCTTGCTTTGCGGCTTCTTGTGGCTGTCGCTCAGCCAATGTTAGTTTTTGATGAACTCGATAGTCAAGAGGCTTTGGGGTTTGGCTTCAGGCTTCAGCCGCGGGTCATCACCACAACTGTAAGACTGTAAGACCAATGGGAGGTTTTCAATATTGTAGCACCGTAAGAACAAGACAGTAGTTGAAGCTTCCACAGCCGTTTCCGCACATGATCAGCATGAAGTGCCCTCAACTGCTGCCTTCCACCGATGGCCTGATCTTGCCAGGTGATGACCGCACAGTCAGTGCTTGGTCAGCAATCCAATTGGAGATTTCGGGTTCAGGGCTTCACAGAGCCATTGATGCACGCTGCTACTTGTGAGGCGGAAATCAAGCCTGTAAGTAGAGTTCGTCAGCTGTCGCCAAAGGTCTTATCGAACTGGACGTTCCTGATTGATGAGCACGACTGAGACCATGTGTGCACTTTCACGTGCAAATTTCATGTTTGCCTGCAGGCCTCTGCCGTGCGTCTGCTGTATCTTGAACATGCTAAGCTGCCTGTGGTATGAGGGGGGCTCCCCCGGCAGCGTGCAGTGCATAATGTGTCCGTTGCTGCCTTGCAGACGGACTGTTACTTTCTGTTCATGCCTCTGATGAAAGGTTGTTTGGTTGTCGCGACAGGATGGGTTGCTACACTGCTACACTTTTCGGGACTCGATGCAGAAAGCCTTTTGAAGCCATGCGGTTGTTCTGACTCACGCGGGCATCAGTATTTAAAGTCTGATTCTGATTTGAGTTGTTTGTCCGCATCAGACGAAAGAGTGAGACAGCGTAGACTTCGAAAACCAGCAGAATAATCACTCTTTGTCTGCTGTGCAGACTGACAGGTGTAAAAGTCACACGGTCTTCCAAGCATGAAGAGCTGCAGAGCACCAAGTGCTCAAGTTGCTGGCCCTGCATGATGGGATCGTTGTGCTCCAGGCACCTGGTAAACATGGCGCTGCTGCGGTGTGTGTGTGTGTAGGTGCATGCATGCATGCGTGCATGCATGCACATACGTATGTATGTATGTCTGCATGTATGCATG